GGGGGGGGGGCAGCCCACCAAGCTCCTTTCCCAGGAACTACACTCAGCATCTCACTATCAAGCCACCCCGATTTTGAACTGTCGGGAAACATTATATGTTAGTGTTATTTTAAGTTTTACGTCATTTGGTATGATTTGGTAGGTTTGAGAGGGTCTGGGAATGCTCAAAAATGTCCCCACAAAAATTAATGAAACCTGTTTCTTGGGTTTTCACCACTTTAGGTTACAATGTATTTCGTGAAGAAATGCTCTACTTGCAGATAACAAAGAAAACCTATATATTCAGCTTACTGTGCTGGGGCGGTCTGCATGATGCTGAGAGGTCTGCCCCCAGTATCTCGAACACCACCAAGATCATTGTGGGGGACTCCTGGTTCAGACAGACTAGAAAGAAAGATCTGGCCATCTATTGCTAACAATAGCCTTATGGACCACAACAGAGCAATGCCCATTCTACTTTCTTTGGACAGGTCATCAGGAGGGACCAATCTCGAGAGGAGGCCATCATTTTGGTGAAGTAGAGGGCCAATGAGGGTGAGGGAGATGCTGGGAGCGAGACAGGGATTAGCTCAGCAGGCAAAGTGATGGGCTCAAGCATGCTGGCGATCCTCAGGGTGATGCGGGCTCTGCTAACATTGCATTCTGACCTCAGTGGGTCACCGTGAGCTGGCAGGTAGCTACTGATCTATGCTCTTCCTGTCTACCCAGTCCTAAAAGGGTCCTTGGCACATACACCTGTAGACCAGTGGATTTCACCACAGTTGTCTGTCCCCTTCACACCAAATCTCATTCATGATCTGTCAGCGCTAGCCAACTTCAGCAACAGCCTTCCCAAGACCCAATCTCCACCCATGGCCTCAAAGCCAAAATTATCTTTATAACGTATACACAGAACAAATCAGACCTTTTTCCTGGAGTGGTGCGGTATGGGCTGTGGTGCAGAGTGCTCCCATTGGCTCTCTAGGGCACCCCAGATAAAGCCATCTGGTTTCCAGGCTACGAGGCGTTTGGGGGGAGCTTGTTCCTGCTTCCTCTCCTCTCCCACCGCTGCTTCTCCCTCCGGAGCACACGAGGCACTTACATCTGACACACCCACAACTTTTCTCCCCACCTTCTTCCAGGAGGGCCTCTCCTCTGCAAGGCCACCTCATTGGCATCATCCTCAACCCAGTCTCAGCACAGATGCCCCTGCTCCGACCCTGGTCACAGGTCTTCCACTTCAACAAGTATGGTGCTCCTCTCTAGGAAGTGTTCTCTTGGGAGACCGTGCCCAAAGTATACGACGTCTCACCATCCCCAGTCGTTTCTTCAATCATTTTATTGAGGGCTCTCAGCTCTTGTAACAATCCATATAGTAATTGTGTCCATCACATTTACACATGTTGCAATCATTTTCAAAGCATTTTCTTTGTACTCCAGCCTTTAGTATCAGTTCCTTTCCCCCCCACGCTTGATGAGAATTATTTTCATCTTACACCATCCGCTGTCTCCCTTCATCCACGTTGCTGTTGTTCATCCCCCTTGGGAGGGAGGTGTTATACATTGATCATTGTGATTGGTTTCCCATCTCCCCTCACCTTCCCCCTACCCTCATGGTATTGCTACCCTGTTTCTACAAAAATAAGACAGTGTCTTATATTAATATTTGCTCCCAAAGATGCACTAGGTCTTATTTTCAGGGGATGTCTTATTTTTCCACGAAGAATACGGTACACATTTTTTGCTTTGTTTTAGTAAAAAGGGCCTTGCACTTCCTGTCTGCTCTGGCTGCACCGCGGATACACGGCTGCGCCTGCCGCTACAGTCCAGAGGCAGGGTAGCTTCAGGGGGCCTTATTTTCGGGGTGGACTTATTTTCAGGGGGGTGCCTTATATTTCAGCAAGAGGCAAAACTGTAAGTAGGTCTTATTTTGGGGGGGTGTCTTACTTTCGGGGAAACAGGGTACTCCCATTACTGTTCTTGAGGGGTTTATCAATCCTGGATTCCATGTGTCGAGAGCTCTTATCTTTACCAATGCACACATTCCATACCAGCCAGATTGGTAAGGTAGAACTAGGTCATGATAATGGGGGCAGGGGGGTGGAGGAAGCATCAAAGAACTAGAGGAATGTTGTGTGTTTCATAAGTGCTATACTCGTTCCTTCCTTGTGACTTTTCTATGAGGGGATGTCCAATTGTCTACAGATGGGTTTTGGGTCTCCACCCCAACCCTCCTTGTTCGCATCAATATTATTGTTTGTTTTAGATCTTCTGATGTCTGATACCTGCTCCCACTGACACCTCATGGTCACACAGGCTGATGTGCTCTGCTAGATGGCCACTTGTTTAACTTCAAGTCTGTAAGACCCTAGACACTATCTCTTCTAATAGCCAACATCCTCACTTTTT